AAGGAAGCTTACAAGAAGTGGAAACTTGGACAGATGACTAGGGAGGAGTATAAATATATTGCTCAAGCATGCAGAGGTGTAATCAGGAAGGTCACAGTCCAATTGGAATTACAGCAAGCAAGACATGTGAAGGGTAACAAGAAAGCTTCTACAGGCATGTTAGGAATAAGAGGGTGGTCAGGGAAGGTGTGGGACCCTTACTGAATGAAGGAGGTAACCTAGTGACAGATGATATGGGAAACACTGAAGTACTCAATAGCTGTGTCTAGACTCGCCAGTTTTTCCAGAAAATCAGCCGCTTTTCCAGAAAAACTTGCCAGCTGTCTACACTGGCAGCTTGAATTTCCACAAAAGCACTGACTTCCTACTGTAAGAAATCAGTGCTTTTTGCGGAAATACTATGCTGCTCCCGTTCGGGCAAAAGTCCCTTTTGTGCAAAACTTTTGCACAAAAGGGCCAGTGTACACAGCAGAGATTTGTTTTCCGCAAAAAAACCCCGATCACGAAAATGGCGATCGGGGCTTTTTTGCGGAAAAGCACGTTTAGATTGGCACAGATGCTTTTCCGCAAAAAGTGCTTTTGCAGAAAAGCGTCCATGCCAATCTAGATGCTCTTTTCCGAAAATGCTTTTAACAGAAAACTTTTCCGTTAAAAGCATTTCCGGAAAATCGTGCCAGTCTAGACGTAGCCAGTGTGTTTTTTCCTTCTGTCTTCACAGATAAGGTCAGCACCTGGAATACTGTAATGGGCAGCACAGTATGGAAAGGAGGTGGGCAGTCCTCAGTGGAGAAAGGACAGATTAAGAACTATTTACAAAAGCTGGACAGACACAAATCTACGGGGCAAGATCTAATGCCTCTGACGGTGCTGGGGGAGTTGGTTGATTGCAGAGACACCGGCCATTATCTTTGAAAACTCATTGTGATCAGGGGAGGTTCCGGACAACTGCAAAAGGTAAATGCAGTGCCCCTCTTCAAAAAAGGGAAGAAAGAGAATAATGGGGAACTAAAGACCAGTCAGCCTTACATCAGTCCCTGGAAAAATCGTGAGGAGGATCCTCAAGGAATCCATTTTGAAGCACTTTGAAGAGAGGAAAGTGATCAGAAATAGTCAGCATGGATTCACCAAGAGCAAGTCATGCCTAACCAACCTGATTGCCTTCTATGATAAGATAACTGGCTCTGTGGATTTGAGGAAGGCAGTGAACACGATATACCTTGACTTAGTAAAGTTTTTGACACAGTCTCCCACAGTATTCTTGCCAGCAAGTTAAGGAAGTATGGACTGGATAAATGAACTATAAGGTGGATAGAAAGCTGGCTAGATTGTCCAGCTCAACGGGTTGTGAGCAATGCCTGGATGTCTGGTTTGTGGTTGGTGTCAGGTGGAGTGCCCCAGGGGTCAGTTTTGTTCAACATCTTTATTAATGACCTGGATGAGGGGATGGACTGCACATTCAGCAAGTTTGTAGGTGACACTAAACTAGGGAGAGAGGTAGATAAGCTGGAGAATAAGGATAGGGACAAGAGTGATCTGGACAAATTGGAAGATTGGGCCAAAAGAAATCTGATGAGGCTCACCAAGGACAAATGTAGAGTCCTGAACTTGGGACGGAAGAATCCCAAGCATTGTTATAGGTTGGGGACCGACTAGCTAAGTAGCAGTTCTGCAGAAAAGGACCTGGGGGTTACAGTGGATGAGAAGCTGGATATGAGTCAACAACGTGCCCTTGTAGCCAAGAATGCTAATGGCATATTTGGGTGCATTAGGAAGAGCATTGCCAGCATATCTAGAGAAGTGATAATTCCCCTTTATTCTGCAGTACTGTGTCCAAGTCTGGGGCTCTCATTATAGAAAAAATGTGGATGCACTGGAGAAAATCCAGCAGAGGGCAACAAGAACGATTAGGGGGCTGGAGCACATGACTTGTGAGGAGAGGCTGAAGTATTTTGCCTTAATCTACAGAAGAGTGTGGGGGGGAGGGAGTTGGATATTAGGAAAAAAATATTTCATTATTCAGGTAGTGAAGCACTTGAATGGGTTATCTAGGGAGGTGGTGGAATCTCCATCTACAGTGTTTCTTAGGTCCCAGCTTAAGAAAGCCCCAGCTGGGATGATTTAGTTGGAGTTGGTCCTGCTTTTAGCAAGGGGTTGGACTCAATTACCTCCTGAGGTCTCTTCCAATCCTCTGATTCTATGATTGTAGCTGAATATTATGAGTTATACTTCTGTATACAGTGTGCTTCATGTGAGCTAGTATTTCTTGGCAACCTGATTTGTTTGTGTGTATCTACTTTTCAATGAATGTGCATTCTTTTTTCTAAATACAGCAAATGATAGTACTTTTGTTTCCTCCACTGCTTATTTAAGGGCCTCTCAATTGTCCAAACTCCCGATTATATAAAATCTATATTCCCCATACTATTTGGATGAGCAAGAATATACTGTATGTAGTCTAATACACATATCAACACAGTGTTCACCATGGGGAAGGTTAAATAAAAGTGAAGTGATATTTATTAGTCCTATATTTTATTGTAGCAGTTTCTTGAAGCGTGAAAATGGCAGGGAGACTGCTGGAAGGCATGACAGGGAAACTTGACTTGGGAAGTGTCAGGGTGGATATAACTGAAGTAATGAAAAGTTCATTTTTGTTCAGTTTATCCTGGAGTTATACTGTCACAATGCCTTCAGTCACTAGCTACATCATACTATGATGATGTTATATATTATATTCTGTACATACAGCTTTGCTCTAAGATAAATGACTTTAAAAATTAATAGCCCATGAAGGATAGTTTTGCTTTTAAGGAAAATAAAGAAGCTAGAACTGTCACTTGTATACAGTTGTCTGCAATTTTCCTTCAAGCTTTCTATTCTACCATTTTTTGAAAGTTGAGTGACATGAGCCCAAGTATGAAGGGGAAATGCCAACCTCTGTGTTGCAGTACATCTGTCTATTGTAAGTTATTTGTAAGTCACTATTTCACTAACATTTCCAATTGTCTATTGCTCAAAAAAGTCAAGACAACCTTTCTTCTCTCAGTTAGAGCAGATTTCAAGAAAGGAAGAAGTCTATTTTGCAAATGTCTTTGTCAAAGCTTGCTGCAGTCAGCAGAAATTGTATTTGTAGTTTATTCTGCAAAGGTAAAAATCCTTTTGCTAATAATCTATGCCTCAACTGATCTTGGTAACACCCACAGGATGACTATATAGTTAAAAAACCTAATTATTCTTTAAGACAACACATAACAAGGGCCATAGATTTGAGTTTTTGTAAAAGTGTTTTATTGTAAATTTTATACAAAAAGACAGCTCTCCATTTATGTCTAACATAAATGTTCGCCTTCCTTCGCTGTTATTAGAGAAATTATACAATATAGATCTTCTTTCAAATGGATGCTATTTTTATAAACACTCATCATAATACCACCACCTGCTGTTTTATACATAAACTGTGTGATAGGTAGACCTTTTTAGGGCAACCAGCAGCATGTACACGACCAGATACAAACTTGTGCACTCAGACTAGGTATGCTATATCTAGATATCTTCCACTGATATGCAGCAAGGGTTATTCCCTTTGGGTTCTGGTGGCCATCTAACCAGAGCACCATATAACAGGAGAGTTAATCATTGGAAGAGTCCTGTGGGTGGCTATCACTGACATACATTTGGTAAAGACCCAAGGGGCTATGGCAAGGCCACACGGGAGGACTAAACTGGTAACGCTTCGACTCTACCAAAAAACACAGGAAATGTCTATCACCATTGAAAATGGCAATGCAGAAGTAAGTCCCTACTTACTTAGAAGAACCCCTGGGTCTAGTAGCACTGTGGCACCTCCTCCACTGCCCCCTGCCTGAGTAACCCATTGATTTTCTGCCGTGGGAGCCGCTCATGATAAGGGTCTCTGAAGAGGGACAGGGAAGGAGGGTAGGATGCGGCGGCATGGTAAAGGAGAGCTGGAGGGTGTATCCCTACCTCACCAAGCTGAGGACCCAATGGTCCAACGAGACAGAGCGCCAGGCCAGGAGAAAGGGGTGCAGACTGTGGATGAACATCACAGGGGAAGGATCCGGTGAAATCAGAGGTACATCATCCTCAATCGAACCCTCAAAATGGGTGCTTCAGGTTGATCTTGGGATGGGAGGAGCCCCGCTGCATGGAAGAGCAGGACTTCAATTGTCTTGTCCTAAACCCTTTGAACTTGGTTTGTCCTGTGTCCAAATGAGGCTAAGCAGCTGTGGTTGGAGGCTGGAACTTCTTCTGAGCTAGACCTGGAGCATACAGGCCAAGTGTTCAGAGTGCTATGTGGGAGTCCTTTAGCCCATATTGTTTAGTATCTGTCAGTTCTGCAAACAAGGCCACTCCATCACAGGGGAGATCCTGAAGGGACTGCTGCATCTCATGGAAGAGACAGGAGAGAAGCAGCCATGATGCCCTCTGCATGGAAATGGCTGAAGCCATGGAGTGTGCTCCTGAGTCCGAGGCTGCCTGGAGAGCTCCCCCTTGCAGCTGTGGCTTCCACCTCTGCCCAGACCTTGAACTTCTTGCTCGAATCCTCTGAGAGAGAGGACTTTAAAATGTGACAGAGTATTACAAAGTTGATCTCATAGTGAGCTATGATTCACTATCCTCACCTGTAAGCTTGATGACAAATAAAATTTCCTCCCAATCAAGTGCAGTCTCTTCAAATCCTTATTTTTCAAGGTCGCCCTGCAGGTAGCCATTCCCAGTGATTAACAGCCCCTACCACGAGGCAATTGGGATGTAAAATCCTGTTCAAATTGTTAACAGGTTAAATATGGTGTTTAATTGGTTAACCAGTTAAACACAGTGTTAAAGGGGGGAAGGACGGGTAGAGCCACTCAGCATGGCTGAGCTATTTCCCAGAGCTCCCCTTGGCTGGAAATGGCAAACCACAGCCAATGGGAGTTGTGAGACTCCTTGCCTATGGATGCTTAGAGAAATTGTCTCGCAACCCACCAGCAGCTTACCTGGGCTGGTCATGACTCAAGTTTGAAAATCCCAGCTCTAAACCCTCCACTTGGAAGTTTAAGTCAGCAGCCACCTATTTAAGAAAGACCTGGTGGGCCAGTCATCACCAGGCATTGCGGTGGCCCCATGATGGTCTCATCCAGAATGATGAGGAAGAGGCTTGCATCAGGGGAGAACCTTGCTCCCCTTGTGAGGTGGGAGCATGGACTCTTCTGGTGCTGGGAGGTGCTTGATAGAGGCTGAGCCTCCCTACAGAGCCTTCGACATACCCGCTATAGCGTGCGGTACATGGGATGGCATGGAGAATCTCCACACATTCCAGGGATACCATTGTGACAGCCATGCCTGTGGCTACTGTGTTGGCTGGAGTTCCGCCTGCAATATCAGAGGTGTCAGACAAGGAGCTTGTGCCAGAGATACCGTGGCTTGGACCAAGGCCAGGCTGGCAGATTGCATGCTCCTGGTAGATCAGGAATGGGGGTGGTATGGGAGTAGAGCTACCCTCTGGGCACAGAAAGCAACACCCAGGACACGGAGGAGTGCTGTAAGCAGTCCCCTGCGAATCGCCATCCACTCCAAGATCAGGGCTATGAGCAACAGTGGCTGTTCATGTCATAGTTGGCTTAGGAGTGACTGTGGGACTGGTGCTGATCAGCCCAAGTGCAGTGTTGTGACATGGAGTAGGACCTCCAGCCCCTGTGCTTCTCTCAGACACATTGAGGTGAAATACTAGCCAGGGAGCAGCAATGGCACAGTGAATGATGGTGCATCAGAGATTCGTCCCTTGAATGGTGTGTAAACCTTGGAAAATAACGGTACCAAGCATAGTGTCTATACCAGGGAAGTGCAGGTCTCCGGTGATCTATATCAAAACCCTGGAGAGTCCCACTTTCTGCCCTCCATGATCCGGGTGCTCACTAGGGACCAAGCCGGGTGGTGGGCCCTGCAACTCTTACCCCACATGGATGAGGCCTTCGATGTCCCACTGCAAAAGGAATGTTGGCACTGCTGAGATCAGAGGGGCACCATGTGAGGCTTACTGTTGTGTCTTGGTCTTGCAACTACTGTGGTGAGAGGTACCAGCATCGACAAGATGTCCTGGGCCTCCTGTATGGCCTCGGGGGTCGACAACATCTACAACTGCTCCACTCCACTTGGAGATCAGGTCTGAGAGGAGGCAGGGGGCCCTTGATCCAATGAGACCTGAGGAGTTTGTTGGGCAGGAGAGTCCACTGGCATCAATGTTCTGGTGCCAGCCTTCTCAGGTCCAGGAGACTTGCCCTTGCCTTGATTAGACTTATAAGGTGCCAGGGAATAGTGTTGTAGTATCCCTCCTCCCCGTCCACACACACCTTTTTGTGAAAGAGTTCTTTCGCAAAAAGGCTTCTTCCTTGTAGAATGAGGATTACCAATTACAAAAGAATGCACTTGCTGTGTGAACATAAGTCAAGTTTTGTTAGAAAAATGGCATTTTCCGACAAAACTCTGTAGTTTAGACATAGCCTGAGGGTGGAGGGGACCAGAGGCACCCTATATAGCAGCGTTTCTCAAACAGTTTCTCAAACTTAGAGGGGGTCACAGCTGCATTCGGTTTTTCACTTGCGACCCCTCTCCCCCGGGTTACGAAGAGCGGCAGGGCGGCGGAAGGTAGCCGCCGGCAAGCCGTGCAGCGTGGCTGGGGCCACAGCACTCCAGGAGCGCGGCTCAGCTGCAGGAAGAGGCAAGGCGGCGAGAGAATGAGGCTAGCGCCGGCTCAGAAGCGGACGCACAAGGGGCCGGCCGAGTCACGGTTGCTGGGCGACTGAACGCTTCCCCAGCTGAGAGAGGGCGGGGTCCCTCAAGCAGCAGGCTGGGGGATTGGGTCGGAGCAGAGGACCCAGAGGTAAATAAGGGCACATGGGGGTCAAAGGAGTAGGCAAAGGAGAGGAGAGGAGCGAGAGGGGGGGAAAAAACCTACACAATGCGGAGCAGAAAAGAGGTACAGAGGAGAAAGACGGGAGAAGGAGCCTGCAGGGGGGAAGGGCTTGAGGACTGCAAATGCCTTGAAGGAACACCAGGAGGGCAAGGAGTCTGGTGAGAAGGGGAGAGGAAGCGACCCAGGGCAGTGAGGGTAGGGGGGTGGGGTCACACAAATTCATTTAGCATTTTAGGGGGTCGTGGTATCGCAAAGTTTGAGAACCCCTGCTATATAGTGTGGTGTGGGCACACCACTCCAAGTGGCGCCTGAGCCTGCTCCCCGCGGGTACTGTTAAGGGAAAAAACTTCCAGCACCAGTGCATGGGGTAAGCACACACAACTACGCTGAATAGACATGAGCAATGACTTGAAGAACTTCCCATTTCCCCGTCACTGTAAACATGAGGACATCATCCTGCCTACCACTTAGGCCCATAATGTAACAGAGGCTGAGGCTGCATTTTTGTCTCAGACTTTTCTCTTTATCCTTATGCCCAGGCTATGCTTACCTTCTGCCAATTCCTTCTGCATAATATCTCTATCTCCTTCCCAGTGATATGAATGGGAGTGGCAGCCCTGTGGGGAAGGAGCAGCAACCCCCATAGTGGCAGCCTCACAGGACCGGTGGAAGTGGCAGCTCCACAGTTGGCAGCAGTATTCCCTGCTGCAGCACAGCTTCACAGGTGATTAATCAGCCCCGCCCAGTCAATGAGCTCCATGTAGGGAGCCCTGTGCCTCTGACAGGGCGGGGTTGATTAATCACCCATGAAGCTGTGCTGCAGCATAGCTTAGAGGGAACACTTGGCGGCTTGGCGGCTGCTGCAGCTGGGCTGGAACAGCTCCCCATCTATGTGATCCCATGTAATCTGTCAACCAGATAAACGTTAAGTTTAACCCTACTATCCCCACAGCTGAAACTCTCATCCATAATCTTATCAGCTCATGTCTCATTTACTGATCTCTTTTTCTTGGCTTGGAAAAAAGCAGGCTTGCTCTACTCATATCCATTCAGAATGCTGCTATACAGATCATTTTCCTAATCAGTTTGTTTGACCATGTCATCACTCTCTTTGTATCCCTCCTCTGGGTCCCCCTAAGTTATTTTTTTTTCCACTTTCAAGCCCTTCACAGTCTGACTCTATACCAGGAGTGAGCAATAAATGGCCTGTGGAGCAGACAGGCCACCATATGCTTTATTTACCTGAACATCTGCAGGTACGGCTGCTTGCAGCTCCCATTGGCTGTGGTTCACCTTTCCTGGCCAACAGAAGCTGTGGGAAGTGGCATGGGTCAGGCCACTGCTTCCCGAGCTTCCACTGGCCACGAATTATGGCCAAAGGGAGCTGCGAGTGGCTGTACCTGTGGATGTTCAGGTAAATAAAGTATCTGGCAGCCCATCGGGCTAACTCTAGTGATTCACATCCGACCCTCAAGCTGCTTATTGCTCACCCCTGCTCTACATACTTATCTGTGATTGAAATGTCAATTCCAACTTCCCTTTAATCTCTGATGCCAGCCTTCATCTCCTAATTGTTAAACTTTCAAACAAGCACACAGTGCCCTTCACACTTAGAGGAGGTCCAACTAACATCCACAAAGCTACCTCATTATCCTACTTCAAAACTCTCCTTAGAACATTGCTTTTCTGTGATGAGACCACTACATACAATGCTGACCAATGTTGTCTCTGTTTCCTTGTACTTCCCCATCTGTCTGCATCCATCTGTTGGACCTGGTTTTATATTTAGGCTGTAAGAACTTTAGGGAAGGGATTATCTTTTTGTTGTGTTTATAAAGTGCCTCGCACAGTGGGATCCTGGTTCATGATTAGGTAAGATGGGCTCCTACGTCACTACCGTAATGCAAATAACTCACATACTTTTGCAATATGTTGTAACAATTCAAACAAAAAGAGCACTTTGGTTACGTCACATTTTTACAATTTGCATGTGGTCATGTTCTAAAAGCCTGTGTTGTGATAGGCAAAATGTTTCATGACATCTTTTTTAGTAAACACATTAGTATATGTGTTACAGATAAAACTGGAGATTTACGTCCAAATATCACCTACAAATGTCTCATTTTTTCCTCACAAATACATATATATCTATTCATAGGGTTACTGAAGCCACAATTTAAAAATACAATATACCACTGATGCAAATTACCCATTGCTTCCTGATTTATAAAGACACCTAAAAAGTTTTTCATTGGGAACTGAAATTGCCATTTTACCAGATCTAAGATATGAGAGACTGATTTAACAGTATATTGGGGCATTCTATATTTAAGTAAGCAAAAAAGTACAAAAAAGTACAAAAAATTAACTACAATACTAGCTCATAATGGATGCTTATATTATTTCTGAAATGACAATGAAATAAGAAACAAATGGAGAACAGAATCTTTCACAGCAGTGTAACTGCTCCTGGAGTTTCAATGCATTGCATTATACTGATGACTGTGAACTCAGACTTCTTTCTTACTTTTCAGCGGCACAGGTGTCCATTTAACTATCTCTTCCTTCAGATTATTGTTCCACCTTCTGCTGTGAAAATAATCACTATGCTTCATTTCAACGCACTCAGCTCTTTTAGCCACACACATACGATAGCACCTCACATGCTGACTGTTGACCATGAGAACACTACCACAATCACACAAAAGTTACAAAAAAATTAATAAAGAACCACTGAAGATGCAAGTTAGTACTTGCACCTCACATGCTGACTGTTGACCATGAGAACACTACCACAATTACACAAAAGTTACAAAAAAATTAATAAAGAACCACTGAAGATGCAAGTTTTTAGTTGCCAATTGCTATTTTTAGTCAAGTGGCACGGAGTAGATATTTAGCTATGTAAACTTTAAATATATTCTGAAAGTCAGTTACTGCTTTTTTGAGAAGCAGCTCACCAGCTCTGAGGTTTTCATAATATTTTTCATCTTCTGCTAAGGAATTATCAACATGTCTAATATTTACTGCGAATATTTTCACCAAACTATGGACCTAGTCCCATTGGAAACCTGATTAAAAATCCCCAGCAACGATCTATTCACCTAAAAAAACTAGAGATTTTATGATGGAAGTGCAAAGATAGAAAGGGTAATTTCCCTACTCTGCTATCTTAGGCCTTGTCTATACTTACTATATATATATATATAAACGCAGTCTGACACTGGCAACACACCTTAGGGGAATGGAGCTTATACCAGCAAAAGAAATCTTACATCAGTTCTCTGAACAGAATAATGCAGCAAGCAGTCCCTGTACCAAACAGTTTACAATTTAAATAGGCAAAAACAGATAGATGGGACAGA